TTTTTGACTTGATGGGAAATTAAACAACCAGGACAAACATTTTTCGGAATGGGATTAGCAGGTAGAAGCAAAACAAGACTTGAAACTCCATGATGATGGGTCTTTAGGGGAAACTGAAAGAAAATGGTATATAATAACCAAAGGGGATAATTGCTCTTCACAGAATTCTAATGGAATTGTGCTTTCATTTGTTTGCTGAAGTTTGAAGTCTTTAGTACTTGAGAAGAAAGCAGAAGTTTCAATTTAATTCAACAAGCATTTATTAAGAACATACAAAAAAGAACATACTATGCGCGGGGCACTGTTTTAGGCACGGGGGCTACAAAGGCAAAAATGAAACAATTCCTGCCCTCGAGGAGCTCATATTCTACTGTATGGAGCAAAACATAATCTAAAAGTGATGTATTCATTATTTTCATGTGCAGTTATCCAATTATTATAATGATGAAAGCTACCTTCAATAAAAGATCACCTTTGAAAAATTTAAAGAAAAACAGAAAAAAAAATGAAGATCATAGATTTAAAGATACGAAGATCTTTATGTCCAACCCCCTTTATTTTACAGGGCGAGGGGAAAAGCTAGGCACTTTAAAAATATTATCTTATTTTATTCTCACAAAAACCCTGTGAAATAAGTACTATTATTATACTACTATTATAAGTATTATAGTGTAAGTACTATAATTATCCTTATTTACAGTTGAGCCTGGGCCTGGAGTTTTCCCTGAGTTCAAATCTAGTCTCAGACACTTACTGGCTGTGTGATCCTGGGCAAGTCACTTCACCCTGCTTGCCTCAGTTTACTCCTCTGTAAAATGAGCTGGAGAAGGAAATGGCATACCATTCCAGTACCTTTGCCAAGAAAACCCTGGATGGGGTCACAAAGAAGAATCACACATGACTGAAATGATTGCATAACAACAACAGAACAACAAGAAGTCAACAGTGACCTTAGTAATATCGAAGTAACCTAAGAATTTAGTCTCAAAAATCTGTAATACACGGGACCTAGCACAGTGTATCATCGACCTTGTGGAATATATTCTAATCACCTTTGCCGAGGTCATTAGATGTTACAGCAATAGGCTGACAAGGGAGTTTGGATGGCCCACTTTTTCTCTGTTTCTATACCAACCATACAGTAATTGACTGTTACTGAATTCAGTGACCAATTGTTCATTTTTGAATGTATATTGTATCTTGTGTACTACTTATGATTAAAAATGAAATAAAAATTCACATTTCTTTTTCACTTGATTCAGAACTAACCTTGGTACCCAAACAATGGGAACACCTTTTAAAGCAAAACTCAAATATTTTCCTTTTCTTGTTCTCCTAGAGATAAAGAAAGCTCTTGAACACTTATTGAAAGTCAGATGAAAAGGAAACGACTGAAAAGCTCCAAAATGTTCTATTTTAAAACTGCATGAAGACTTTTGGGGACACACTGTATAACTGATAGCTACTAACAGGTGGCAGATCCTGGGTTTTCTGATGCTCTTAGTTCATTGCTTTTACAGGTACCATGCTACCTGTAACCAGGTAGCTGCAGTTCACTGCAAAGAGTTACCACTTGTGTACGGCACTGCTGGAGTGGCTATTCTTACCTGGACCTTCCCTCCATAGTTTCTGTGCTTCAGTCAGGCTACATGAATCTCTTTGGTCCTCAGCTATCTGTAAAATGGTGGGATCAGATTTGGTGATCTCTTAAGGTTTCTTCTTACTCTCAATCTGTGTGTATATGAACCTTGCTTTCCCCTACAGAATTGTCTCATCCAGCTTCATCATCCACTTCATTCATCCAGCCTTGTGTGAGTTACTTTTGGCCATTTCCAAAACTTAAATTCATCTTAGTGGATAAAGATTTGCCCTAGTAAAAAAACAAACTTTTTTTTAAAATTCAAAAGTCCTGGGCTCTGAGGATTTTTCCCTTCCCTTCTCTTCCCTTCCCTTCCCTCCTCTTCCTTCCCCTTCCCTCCTCTTCCTTTGTCTCCCCTTCCCTCTCCTCCCCTTCCCTTGTTTCACCTTCCCTGCCCATCTCCCTTCCCTTCTCTTTTCACTCCCAGCCTCTCTGAGAGAAGCCTAATTCCTCTCCCTCACCTAGGTTTTTGGGAAAGGGATAGGGTTGGTGGGGGTGGAGCTTTAGGTTCACAGCTTACCTCTGTTTCTATGCATTACCTTCAATGTCCAAGTCCAAAGCTCATCTCCTGGGCTGACAGCAACATCTCATTTGGGAATCCTGGCTCTATGATCAGTGTGGCTCAACCTCCCTGGTCTAAGGATTCCATAACATATCTGCACTGAAGGCAGTTTCAAAAGGTGAATTCTAAAACAATTTCATCAATGACAGTTATCACAGGGATATAACCTCACAAGGAAGCTGCTCAGAAAGGTATAGTGCTTTGGATGGATACATTTCTGTGTTTGTCTGAAAAAGTCAGACTCAAAGTCATATATTGTATATACTCACAGCAAGATAACATTATAAACCAATAAATGGCATGCCTCTCCATTGGCAGCTTCAAAAAATCAAGTCAACAAGCATTTATTATGTGCTTACTAATTTGTCAAGTACTGTACTAAATATAGGAGACAAAAACACTAACATTTACATTCTAATTGGTGTAGACAACATTTAAAAAGGAGCTAAAATGGGGGTGGGCGTAGAAGGAGATACCCATGTAGGGATCATGGTGGTGAAGTCCACAGAATGGAAATTGGTTGGTCTGGCCCCTTTCTTAAAATGAGGTTCTGAGAGAAAGTCACTAATGCGACAAAGGGGCCGTAGAGGAGGGGAGAGAAGGCAACTGAGGCATGGAATCCAGCCAAAGGGAAGAGACTCCTTAGCCACAGTTGTTGGGGTAAGGTTTCATGAGAGAGAAGAGGTTTGAAAGCTTAAAGGAAATTTTGATTTCATATGTTAGAAACAAACAGGCTTGCCTTGAGCTTTTTTTTTTAAAAGGTACTTTTAATCAATTCAGAATTAATTTAAACAACTATTCAATATCACAGAGATAGAGCTGGTTTATTAACAATCAATTTGTTACTGTATTTTACCCTATTAAATATACTATGGTGCTACTGTATCCGCGTAGTCTATCTTGATCTTGCTGACTTTTTCCCTTCTCAATTCCCAACTCTCTCCCTTGTAGTCTGTCTTGAGATGAACTGAAATGGATGTTTGAGTGTCCCAACTTTAACTGGCAAATTTGTGACTCAGTTCAATGAACTTAAGAGCTCTGCTTGAAGTGGGTTGTAAATTGTTTGCTTGGATATTAACTATTAACATGATGTAAAGCATTAAAAAATAATAATCTAAGTCCCTATCCGAGTGATTGCTAAATAATCTAGAAATACCTTGGATAATCATTTCATCCATTGATCAGAAATAATAATTGTGTCCTTTAAGATTCATTGCTGAAAAATAATACTAAGAAAACCATTCAGTCCTCATTTTCTCAGACTATAAAAGTGACATGAAGAATTCAAAGTCTTGAAATCTGGATAGTACAACAAGAAATATCTACTGCTTTAGCACTATTGGCAACTCTTCCCCATCAGTTAACTTAGGAAATATCAGTGATCACGTGGGGTGTTTCTTTTTTAATGAAGATGTCATTTCATCAATTTCATTTCACCTGAAGTGGAATGACCCTCTGTTGATGAAATCTTGCTTTGAGCTGTGTGTAGAAAGTGGTGGAACGTGTTATGATGGGTGTTGGGACCGCTCAGTTCCCTTTTTAAGTCTCTTAGACTGTTGGAGTGGACCTGGGAAGTTTGTGGACATTTAGGATATGGCATGAAAGGACATTCCTTTCTCTTGGATCATTTAGTGACACCTTAAATAGAGGCAGGAGGTCAAAGTACAAAGTTTAGATTCTTTCACAGAAAATAAGAGGTTAATGATACATTTCTCCACGTAAATAATAAACAGTGCTAAAAAAAGAAGAGAAATCTGATGAATAAAGACACTTTGTGAATTAGAAGTGCTATGTATTAAATAAATGCCACTATAATAGGAATTCATGGTTGGGTGCTATTCAGCCACTCTCAGTGTGATATTTCCAGAGCCTGAAAACAAATGAACTTCATTGTTTAAAGGGGTTGCCTTGGACAACCAGATGACATATGCAGAAACAGTCCTCAGATCACAATAGAAAGAGCTAACATGATGCCCTCATATAAATATTGAAATAGTAAAGCTTCTTCAAAGGAATGAACTACAGAATAGTAATACTGTTTTACAAATGCAAGCTGTTATTAACAAGCACTCTTTGGAAATTCTATAGACTTCCCATTCATTTTAGAATATATTTTTCATGAATGAAGCCATTTTTACTAGTTCTATCAATTTCAGAAGGGGATCTGTTGTGATGATTGCTATCTTATTTTAGATGCTAATGTAGACTCATAGGGGCAGCTGAGTGATGCAGTGGATAGAAAGCTGGGCCTGGAGTCAGGAAGACCTGAGTGATAATCTAGCCTCAGACACTTACTAGTTGTGTGATCCTGGGCCCTTAAGTCACTTCACCCTGTTTGCCTCAGTTTCCTCATCTGTAAAATGAGCTGGAGAAAGAAATGGCAAACCATTCCAGTATCTTTGCCAGGAAAAGCTCAAATAGGATCACTGAAGTAGACTGAACAACAACACAGGAGAATAGCTGTAAGGATATATCCAAAGATTCCCTCGACTCCCAACACCTTTTTCCATTGATCACACTTGAAATGATCGTATTTCTAGGCTGTGTGTTACTTTAGGTGAGAGTATGTTCAGTTGAATTGAACCAAGAACCTCAAAACCCTGAGCAGGCTGAGAGTTTTAGTAGAGAGTTGGTGAGCAATGGAAGGGAGGAGGGCAGTGTCACCTCCCCCTCCCACTAGTCCCAACACACACATACACAGCCCGCTCCCTCCCAGCCCAACGGTATACTACAGCCCACGGACCACCAGCTCAGGAAAGCTCACTGGGACACAATGCGCAGTGATCGCGTGGTGCCCACGTAGAGCCAGGTCTTGGGGACGTGTCCCCGAGTCTCCAAGGTGACGGGTCATAATAAATGCGCGGGACCCTGTCTTCCGGCCCCCAGATCTCAGCCGGCTGCTTAATGAGGCCGGGCAAAGGATCCTAACGTCCGAAGCCCTGCTATCAGAAATACACAATCAACTGGTGACTGAAAGGAAACTTTGTTTCCCAACATCCATTCCCGCTATGTACGGGCCAGGTAAGAGAGCGGCCGAAAAAGGGAAAGGGTCAGGGCAGAGAAGGCTAGATAGGGAGAGAGGAACTACCTGGAAAGTGGAGCTTCCTGTGTAGCTTAAGGCAATATCCCTCCCAAGCCAGTGGAGAGAGAGAGAGACAGAGAGACAGAGAGAGACAGAGACAGAGAGACAGAGAGAGACAGAGACAGAGAGACAGAGACACAGAGACAGAGAGAGACACAGACCGAGAGAGACAGAGACAGAGAGACACACACAGAGACATAGAGAAACAGAGAGACACAGAGATAGAGAGAGACAGAGGGACATAGAGACAGAGACAGAGACAGAGAGATACAGAGACAGAGGGACAGAGAGAGAGAGAGAGAGAGAGAGAGAGAGAGAGAGAGAGAGAGAGAGAGAGAGAGAGAGAGTGAACACAGAAAGGGAAACAGAGAGAGAGTTGACTCGTGTGTGCATGGCTCATTCACAGCCACCCTCCACCTGGGATCCTTTTTCCCCAAATGTGCACTTAACTGCTTTCAGTCCCTTATGATGAGTCTAAAAAAGGCCAGGATGGGGTCAAGCCGATCAGTAGAACAAGGAGACAGGCAGAGCAGGGAAGGAATCAGGCAGCTTTGAAGAGAGAGTGGGCACAGACAGCATCCCGGAATCCATTCTCAAGGGAGCATCACACCCTCCTCTTCTACTTCCCTTCCCCCTCGTCAGTTTGCAACTGTAAAAGCAGTTGGAATAAGTCCAAAGTTAGCACATCAGTAAAGGGAGGGGGATGGAGGAGGAGAATAGCAATAGAAGCACTTGAAATCACTGTGGTCGTGGTCATTGAAAGCAGACCTGGCTTTGGACACCCGTGGAGACTTTAATATGTAGTGGAATGAAAATAAATTCCAAAGCAAAGGGTTTCTGTTTCACAGTGGTATGGAGGCAGGACAGCTCAAGCTAATTCTAACCTTGACTGGGGAGGGGAGACAGTGGTTATTAAAAAGTAGATTTGTATGTAACAGATGTGGTGGTGTTCTTAGTGCAGAGTACGCATACATATGCAGCAGCTTTCCTGAATTTAGCTATTCGATCTACATGGAGTTGGGGAGGAGAGAACCTCCTCCTGCTGTGATACTAGTGGCTGATTACTGTGCCTTCAATTCCATCCTTGCCATTCTAATGACCCAAAATACCCAGCTGCAGCTGTCTTGCTGTGTAATTGAGGCTCCAACATCTATGGAGCTGTGGGATGTTGTGAAACTTTAAGTTAACAGAATTGTGGGCCTGAGCATGAATGAAAGGTGTATTTCTATAGCCAAGGGAGAAGAATGGTGGGTTCATGGAGAAATCCACCTCTTTATTCCTAGGTCACAAATTGATTTAGAACTGGAAGAGGAAACAGAGATCAAGAGAGGGGAGGAGACTTTTCCTAAGGTCCCATATGCAGTAAGTCACAAAGCTAGAATTTGAACTCAGGTCCTCTGACTTCAGACTCAGAGCTCTTTCCACAGCACTGAGCCTGCCTCCTTGGATTCTTGGGTTATGGAAATATTTGGGAGAGGAAACAACCTTTATCTTCAGGGCCTTTGCTGGGAGTATAATTTCAAGGACCCTCCCCCAATTTTCTTGTTGAAGCCTGCAATTACCTTATTAGGTACAAAGGCAGGTAAAAGAGGCTTAAAACATCAACAATGGCTGGATAAAAGTCACAAACATATTATTGACTGAAACTCATTCATGTTAAAGTGTAATCAGTTAACCTATCTGTTAAGAGTAAATAAATGCCAGATATAAGATACCCAGCTGGCCACTGGAGTTAGAAGGCAGGGGGCATTCTGGAATTCTGAAGAAGCAGGAGAGGAGGAAAAAAGGGTATAGAGCAGGGTTTAAACCATAGACTTCATTAAAAAATGTATTTTGATAACTATTTCAATATAATGGGTTTCTTCTGTAATTCTCTGTACTTTATGCATTTAAAAAAACATTATTCTGAGAAACGGTCCATAAGGCTTTTAACACAATGCCTAAAGGGGGTCTATGACATGAAAAATAGGCCAACAACCCCTGGCGTACGTAGCAAGAGAAACTTCACTGACTCAACAATTTTGCTTGCCAGTAGAGGCCTTGTTTATGTCCAACTGTGATCAGATGAAAAGACACTCAATATTTTTGTTCCAGGCAGCTTATGTACTAGTCCAGCTCAGCAGAAAGTGTCACTAAGCTGTGTAACCCACTGACATTACTTTGTACAATTTGTGAAGTCATTCTTTTCTTTTTTTAATTTTTTTTCAAGTAACAAGTTTTTAAAAATGAATGTGTCCCTTCCACTATCTTTAATTGAGCAAATTAAGAACAAAGAAACAAACCTCCAAATAGACAAATCCCTCAACGCATATCTACAGAGTCCTGCAAAATAAATCCCCACAGTAATCATGTCTGAAAAAGTATGTTTCTTTCTACATTTTGATCACCTCTCTGGCAGGAGATGAGTAGTAGGTTTCATCTTCATTCTTTCGGATTCATGGTTTATCATTGCATTGATAAGAGTTCTACAGTCTTCCAAGATTGTTTTTCTGTATAATCATTATGTCAATAATAATAATGCCTGCTTCAGTCTTCTCCCATCAGTTCTTAAAGGTGTGGCAAAATAAAACTCCATTACCTTCATATTCTACACTTTGTTATTGTTGTTCAGTCTTTTCTGACTCTGTCCCTATGGATTTTTATTGAAGGGACTTTCTTGGCAAAGATACTTGAGTGGTTTGCCATATCCTTTTCCAGTGTGCCCCCATTTTACAGATGAGGAACTGAGACAAATGAAGAATAAATGACTTACCCCAGGGTCATAGCAGCTGCTGTCCAAGGCTGGATTTGAATTCAGGTCTTCCTGACTTCAAGCCCCAGTGCACCACCTTTGTTTAGTCATTGCTTACTAGAAGAACATGCCTTTAATGTCCAGTACTAAGTTACCTTAAAAGGAAGTGCTATAAATACTTTTGTACATATATATCCTTTTCCTCTTTAATTTTTCTGGGACATAGACCTAGTAAAGGAATATATTGCTGGTTCAAAAGGTATGCACAAATTCAGTAACTTTTTGGGCATAGTTTCAAATTGCTTTCCAGAACATCTGAATTTCCCAGCTACATGAACAGTGCTAGAGCACCTGCTTTTCTCAAAGCCCTTCCAACATTTGCCATTTTCCTCTTTTGTCATCTTTGTCAGTATGATAAGGATGATGTAGAACCTCAAAAGGACTTTAACTTGAGTTTCTTTTAATTAATAGTGATTTAGAACATTTTTAATATAATTGTTAAGATGTCTGATTTTTCATTTGAAAACTGCCTGTTCATACCCTTTGGACATTTATCTATTGGGAAATGATTCTTAGTCTTATAAATTTATGTCATTTCCTGTGTATCTTGGAAATGAGACCTTTATCAGAGAAACTTGTCGCAAAGATTTCCCCCCCAGTTACCTATATTTTCCTTCTTTGGCGTTATATTTATTAGTGCAAAAACTTAAGTTTTATCACAATTGTCCATTTTATCTTGTGTGGCTTCTCCATTACTTCTTTAGTCATGAACTCTTCTCCTAAATGTAGATATGAAAGGTAATTTCTTCCTGATCCTCTAATTTGTTTATGATGTGATGTTTACGTGTAAGGTCATGTATCCATTTGGAGAGCCTATCCTGGTATATGGTATGAGGTGTTGGTCTAAACCTAATTTCTGACAGATGGTTGGTTGCCTGGTTTTGCCAGCAGGTTTCTCTGCTATTGGGTTTGTTTGATTCTGAATGTCATGTGCCTAGTTTGTGTTCCACTAATTGGCATCTCTCTCTCTCTCTCTCTCTCTCTCTCTCTCTCTCTCTCTCTCTCTCTCTCTCTCTCTCTCTCTCTCTCTCTCTCTCTCTTTCTTTCTTTCTCTGTCTCTGTCTCTCTCTCATAACAAATTGCATTAATGATTACTGCTTTGCAGTACAATCTGAAATTTGGTGTTGAGAGACTCTTTTCCTTCCCACTTTTTTTTCTTTCTTACCTGTAACATTCTTGATCTTTGGTTCTTCCATGCGAATTTTATTATTTTCATATCATTTATTTATTTTAAAATTAAATTTTATCTATCTTACTTCATTATGAAGGAACTTAATTCCCAGGGAATTCATTTATGTTGGTAAGGCATGTGTGGGAGTAATCTTAATCAATCAATTGAAGAACATTTATCAAACACTTACTAGGTGCCAGCAGGCATAGTACCAAATACTTGTTTATCCAAAGAAAGGTAAAAACAGCTTTTACCCTCTGGGAACCCACATTCTAATGGGGAAGACAACATTGGCTATTCAATCCAATGGGCATTTGTTAGGCACTTAATAGAACTAGGTACTTTGCTAAGTGTTGAGGCTATAAATAAAGGCTTGGGTCCCTACCTTCAAGAAGTTCATATTTTACTACAGGAGATAACATGTGTATACACACAGATACACACACACATATGCATATTTTATATATATGATCATATCAAAGGGAAGATACTATCAGAGGACTGGGGATGAGGGAAGGGAAATGGGAAAGGCCTTGTGTAGGATGCCAACTTTGATTTGAGTCTTGAATGAAGCAAAGGAAGGTCAGGAGTTGAAAAAAAAAAGAGAAGAGGGTTGAACACTGTGATAATTTAACAATTCTAAGAGACATAGTTTCTGGGTAACTTAATAATTTTTAATAAGGCCAACATGTTTATTAATAAAAGGAGGGCCATTTGGTCGTCATCTCTCTTAGACCAAATACTCCTTCTGGCTATGGGCTCGCAGTTTATATGCCCTTTGAAGAGTAGGTGTTACTGAAGGGTACCAGTCAACTCTGATTGGTTAACAACAATGGGAGGTGGACTACATTAAAATGAGGGGCTTGGGGTACATGACTTGGGTCACCCAAATCTTGGTCAAAAAGACTTATCAATTTCCATATCAGCTGTCTACAAAAGAGAGAATCAACAGTTCCCCAGACCTATCTGAGCAAACATAATGAGGAGGAATATATCTATTAACCCAAACTTAGAATTTCTTTTGCTGTCTGATTAGATCTTGGCCTGGGTAAGTCTTTCAGAGAGATTTCACACACTGGTTGGTTTCTGGATGAGGAAGTAAAAAAGGGGAAAATCCTTGGTCTCCTAATACAATAATTAGTTATTAAATACAAGAGAGAAATATTTCTCACAGCATTCCAGGAAAGGTGAAAAGGTACCAATTCAGGAAATGGAGCATTATGTATAAGGAACAGGAAAAAAAGGGGGGGGCCATGGTGTCACTCAATCTTGGAGGAGAATAGATTGGGTTTTTTTTTTTGAGAATAGTTTGTAAGATTTGAAAGGTAGGAAGGGAGTCCACATTGTAAAGGGCTCCTAGATTTCGAAGTGCTTTAAGAGCCAAAGAGAAGAGGATTTTATATGAGGAGAGGATTTTATATCTGATACTGGAGGACATTGGGAGCCACTGGAGTTCATTGAATAGAGGGAAAAGGGTGACAGAGTCAAATCTGTGCTTTAGGAAGACTACTTGGGTAGCTGAGTTGGAGGGTGGAGTGAAATAGGGAAGGACTTGAGAGGAAAGAAGAGAATAATACCCCTCTTGTAGGCAAACAGAAACATTAGGAAACATAAAAGCTAAGGTAGTCCAAAAGTCATCACCAATATTAAATAACATCAAGTCTCCTTGTAGCCAACTCCAAATCAGAAATTGCATTTTTTAAACTTTTTTATTTTTTATTTATTTTTAAAAATTAATTTATTTTTAGTTTTCAACATTCACTTTCATAAGCTTTTCAGTTTTAAATTTTCTCTCCTTCCTTCCCCACCTCCCTCCCCAGGAGAACTTGCAATATGATATAGGCTGTACACATACATTCCTATTAACATTTTCACATTAGTCATGCTGTAAAGAAGTATTAGAACCAATAGGAGGAACCACAAGAAAGAAGAAACAAAACAAAACAGAAGAAAAAAAAAAGAGCAAATAGTATACTTCAATCTGCATTCTAACTCCACTTCTCTGGATGTGGATAGCATTTTCCATCATGAGACTTTTGGAGAGATGTCTTAGATCCTTGCATTGCTGAGAAGAGCTAAGTCTATTAAAGTTAGTTATCACACAGCATAGCTATTACTGTGTACAATGTTCTCCTGCTTCTGTTCACTTCACTCAGCATCAGTCCATACAAGTCTTTCCAGGTTTTTCTGAAGTCCGCTTGCTCATCATTTCTTATAGCACAATAGTATTCCATTACATTCATATACCACAACTTGTTCAGCCATTTCCCAATTAATGGGCACCCTGTCAATTTTCCCTGGGAAATTCTAGAAGAGGCCTCATTCTCAGGGCAGCTTTGGAGGGGGTTTCTAGTATATCTTCTTCTCTGGTTCCAAGTCACTTTTGGAGATTTCCTAAAT